ATTAGGGTTTAGGGTTTAGGGTTTAGGGTTTTTGAATATAATATCTTTTCTGCTTTTGTTCGCTCTGAGGTGTATCATCATCATGTATAAAGTAGATCTATTGAAATTGTTTTGTATGAAGTGTAATTCTAAATATAATTACAATATATTAATATATAATAACATTAAACAAATAGAACATAGAATGCATCATATATATAATATATATATGTAATGCAATATATATATATAATGTAGATTATATATGTAATGCATATTATATATGTACATATATATATTATATATAAATATATATATTATACATATATATATATATATTGTGGGGGATAAGGCGGAAAGAAACCTCAGCAAAAGTTTATAATAGAGAACAACATATGCTGTCTCTCTCTCTCTCTCTCTCTCTCTCTGTCTCTTTAGATTTAAATACTTTGATTTTTAATGAATAGCAAAGACAAAACAATATTATGCTGCAAGCAGTAAAAGAAGAAAAGATAATAAGGAGGAGCGAGATGAAGAACAGAGCAACTATCAACAGAAGACAAACTAAAAACAAACAAACAGCAACAGCAACAGCAACAACAACAGCAGCAGGAACAGCAGCAACAGCAAGAAAAGCTGCTGCTGCTTCTGCTTCTGCTGCTGCTGCTCTCTATCTCTGCTCCCCTTTAAGGCTGGCGAGCAGAGCGACTTTAGTTAAGAGATAAAAGAAATAAAAATAAATAAAAATATAGCAGACATCAGAGAGCAGTGGAGTGTCTCGCACTGAGATGTTTGAAAACAAACAAAAGACAAAAAGAAAAAACTCAGCACTACCTGAACAAACGCAATCAAACAGCTAAGTAGCTAGCTAGCTAGCTACCTACCTACCTACCTCCCTAGCTAGCTAGCTAGCTAGCTAGTTGGAGTTGTATAGCTAGCGGTTACTCTTGATTCGCCGCTCTGCCTTCTCGTTGTTCGTTCTGAAGACGCGATTACAGCTAGCCAAGCTACAGTAGCTAGCTAGCTAGCTAGCTGCGCAGCTAGCTAGCTGTGCTGTTGTGTGCTTGTGTGTCTGCACTTAGGCCTATCATAAAGAGATTATATTATTCATAGAGATAAAGATATATCAGAACCGTACAGTAGAAATAGCATCATATATATATATATGCAATATATGTCTATATATATTTATATATTTATATATTTACATATATTATATTTAGATATTTATATATTGATGTTTGTTTCTTGTTTTTAATTTGTTGTGTTTTGGGTGTCTCCTCGCTGCGGTTCTTTATTTATTTATTTGCATTTGTCTGTCTCCTTTTTCTATCGATTGAATTTGTCTATTGTCTTTTAAGTTGGCGAAAGAAAAACAAAAAGACTCAGAAAAAGTAAAAAAGATAAACAGAGACAAATAACAAACGACTCTTATATATATATATATACATATATATATATATATATATATATATGTA